GGGGGGGGGCGGCTGCCGATTACTGGGGTTTAAAAAAGGAGGAAAGCCCGACGTTAGCCGGGCGGTCCAACTGTCTCTATATATAAAGTGGTAACTTTGTGTGTATGTTTGTATCCCCATTTTTGCGTCCTTCCGAAATTCTCGCAGGTACGATGAAGTTATGAAATGAAAAGTCAAGTGATACTGTTCATATTGGTCCTGTAACAAGTCGTAGATAAGCGGGAGTAGGCATGTGGTGCACGCATTAGCCCAACTGGTATCAAATATCAACGATATATTCACCACAAAGATTAGTAACCTTCTCTCATCTTTTGAGCAGATCACTGATGCCAAAGGTCAGGGGACTGTAACTCAAAAAAGTCATTTACTGCTAATTTCAGATCACTGTAAGTTTTAAACTATTCCTAAAAAATGGTGCTTGAGTGGGCTAGAACAAGGCTAGAACAAGTGGTAATCGGAACGTGCAAGCCCCAGGGAGTACGGTGGGTGAGCAACTGGATGCCATCCAAGCTCAGCAATTTTTCGACGAGTCTCAGAAGCGACATGTGCACGCGTGTTATCATGCTGTACGCTTTCTTTTGATCGCCGGCTTTCATCGTCGTTTACCTCATCCGCAAGAAAGTCCTGAAGAATCGGCAGAAAAAGCAGTTTCGCGGATATCAACACGGGCCTGTTTTCTTGGGTATCCGTTCAGTCAGTGGATTTCCATCTTGACGGCACTTCTCGATAACCGTGGACGTGGAGAAAGGTTTGGAAAGTGGCATCCAAGTATCGTTGCCAGCTCACGCGTAGTTGACTCCGGGTTTGCTGTGACAGCAAGTGGTGATTCGTCTTCATCGATGCTTCGTGCTCGTCCACTGCGTACCTTCGAGGTTGGCATCTCCTGAAGCGGAGCGATTGTGCCAACGGGTGGTCATTGAGCGGTGAACAGTGCCTTCATCCGATGTGTTGTTGATCCCATCAGCCGTTTCACGTGTGCTTTTCACTTGACGCTACTCGTAAAGGATAATAGTGCGAAGTTGGTGCTGAGAGATCATATTCGATATAGAAGAGAAATCTATTGCGCGTCTCCCCATATATTCATGTATTGATCGTACTCAGTGCATTCTAACAGATTATCACCATGGCTAGCGCGTTCACGCTGATTTCGCAGCCTTGTCACATTTCAAAATTTTTGTAGCAGGATTTTCTTGCCAAACTTAGCTGTGCAGTGCACTTGTTGTCCGTAATTAATATTCCTGATACATAATAACAGAGAAGGGGTTGGAAAATCGGTGGCAGAAAGAATGATGACGATGCAACCTGAAACTGCTTACAAGGGATGGATTCTAGTTTGCAGTGGACATGAAATGGTTCTGCAGTCAATACTGTAATTATATGATCTGGGACTTATTCCTCACCTATTATGTTTTCATATTTCTATCTGAGCCCTTTTTCTGATGTTCCTCACTTTATTAGAAATTTGAGAAATTTGATTGTGACGTTTTAATTTGTGTTCGAAATAGAGATACCTACAAAGGAAGGATACTACATAGTTAACTGTGGCCATTGAAGATAAAACGTATGCTGTTGTGAGGTTTTCAGAGATACGAAATCGAGTTACCACTATGTTATACTATTACCCACACATTCGAATCGAGAGGTCAATAAGCTGTGCAGCCGGCAGTTAGTATTTTGTATTAGCCAACTAAATTGAAATTCGTGGTTTTGATAAAATCGTTTCGATTTCCTCATCATCCCGCTACAACCACACACCACCGATGAAGGGCTAGGATTGATCACGTTTACATGGTAGCAATACGTATTCGGATCTCCTTGAACCTTCGTCAGGTGGGAATCGAAAACAGTGTGCTGTGTAACAACATGATCCAAATACTAAATTCTTCAACTTGACCCAACTCATTCCAACTGCATATAATTTACTAAGTCTGCTTATGTGTTGGTGCGCCGTTTTGCTGTAAGTGGGGGCGAGTGTATGTTAATGTTTGGGCGATAAAATCGTCTATTCTTTTGCTATAAGCATTTTAGTTACGAAGGGATGCGATAGGAATGCGGAAGCTGTTTATGAAAAGTTACCGATGCTCTCGAAGATATCGAACAGAATAAAAAACGTTATTCAAGGTAATAATAACACATTGCATGTACTTTTCAGAGAGATTGGCCTGATGTTGAACATCGCTGCTCGCGCTCCTTCATGAAAAAAGTGAAAAATGCATTTTGCTCTGTTGGATTTGCTTAATGGAGGATAGTGGGTCGCTTGCATCAGACAGTCAATTTGGTCTGACTGACTTTCAGAATGGCTTTTGCTTTAGCAAAGTTCTTTTCACAGTGCGAACTGCTATTATTCATGACTTGTAAACCAACAATTTACCTATCACAGGAACAGTCGCCAACTTTCGCTGGCTTTGTGTATATTTACTCAAGTACACAATCTTTATCAGATTATTGTGATTCGGATATTGATTCCTTCACATAACTACTATTTACTTTCAGTTCCTTTGGATACAGCAGAGAACCTGAAAATTCTTCATGCAATGTTTTGATAACCAGGCGTAATCCCATGCATTTACCGTGCATTAATATCGGTGAGAAATTGC